GGTACATGATGATGATGATACATTATGATGGGCAGATGTTCAGATAATTACGATGTAAAATTGTCGGTGTCCTAAATCAAAACAGAGAAGACGAAAGTAGTCTTGTTTTTCCTATCGATAACAGTCATAAACAAACACACCGACCAGACGAAATCAATACACATCATCCCTCGTAACTCCACACATTATATCCCAAGTCAGTTTATCTCGAGGGTCTCATCCGCCTAGGGTGTGGCCCATGACCCTTCTTGCAAGAAAAACCTTATTTATCTTATTTAATTGGTTGAAAATGTAATGGATACCGCGATTCRATTATTGATTCTGTGGTCTGAGTTCACGCGGAGACCGAACCATGGAAACTAATGAGGGTAAARAATATGGTACTGAGTATAGCTAGACTTACTGATATCTTACAAGGAGCCTTATCACTTCGCAATCCAGAGACGTGATCTGGCGAGTGGGCTCTGGCAAGTTTTATAAAAAAATCATTAATAGAAATTTAATAGTTTTAGTGCGGACGTGAGAAGAAGCATTGAAATGGCTTCCATTGAACATTCATAAGAAGATTAAACGCGCGCGCTTGTTTTTGTACTTTGATATAAACACGCTGGGAGACTCTCTCGTGCTCTACAGTTCCCTGCGCCCATTATGGAAATAATTAGAAGCTATAAAATAATAGTATAAGAATATAGAAGGTGCGTGAAAAACTTTTGATTATCATAAGATTCAATAAAAGAGTTCTTTATTCAATGAAATGAGATGAGATCAACTATATTTATACACGCTAACCTATTCAATAAATAAATATTGGTTTCCAATAGCTGCGTGATTAATCAGCCAGACTGAATAGAATTAAATATATCTACTACTACTACTTACTATTAACGAATTATTAAAACTATGGGAACATTATCAAAAGATCCATTTAAAATCTTTAAATTTGGAAAAATGCTGGAGACGTTTTTTATTATCTCGTCAACTGACTTCCACCAAGCTTTAACACGGYTTATATGTATGGAATTATTGACAATACGCATGCGCAGTTCAATTCTTTTATTGTGCTTTGCGATTCATGCACGGGGCTCGTGTGCGGACTGATAAAGTACTTGTCAAGCACCAGCATTTATGTTTAAACGCGTATTGATGTGTATAGGAACTGTAATTGAAACTCTGGGCCCGGTTGTACAAAGGGTGGATAGCGCTATCCGGCGGATAAATCCTTATTCAGTGGATTAGTCGATGCTGTTATCCAATAAATTGATCCACTAGATAAGATTTATCCGTCGGATAGCGCTATCCACCCTTTGTACAACCGGACCTTGAATGATAGCAACTAACCCGAGTCCTAATCAAAAAATTCAATATTAAAGGGTCCTTTGAAATTGTTTGCTTTTAATCGTGTATAAAGTTATTTCATATCTCGACTTACTTTAATAAGAAGGACTTTTTTTAACGGCGCTAAACCTTTTTTTAGGGAAACTTTTCGGTCCTCTTCTTTTCTTTCCTCTTTCCCTTCCCTTCTTTTCTTTTTCTTTTTTCCTTTTTTGTTTTTGTAATGGTTGTTGTAATTTTGGCCCCTGTTAAGTGTTAAGACCAGCATATGTTGCACATAAGTAAAAACCAGCTCTTTCTATCCTTTACTTATCATTGAGACTCAAGGAGAAGTCTCCCAAGCCGGGGGCGATCGATGTCAGATAAGCAGATGCCTTCAAAAGAGAACGTAGAAAAATGTTGGATTCCAAATGGCAAACAAAATGCCAAAGATTAGACATCGTTACTGAACTATTAGRACCAATATAAGACAAGTACTGTGTCGAGCGAGCGGTTCTTGCTGACACACGGTAAAGGTTAAGCTTGGTCCTGTGCTCGTGGTCACAAAACAAAGTGAGGCTGCAAAGCAGAATGCTTCCGTCATCCTACGCGATTATATTTTATGTCTTTCCCATGTAGTATTTYATCTTCGTTTTATCTCGAACCAGCAATTATGGAAAAACACTTAGGTGAGTTAATGAGAGTTTTGGGACGTTAATTGAGGGTTAGAATCTGTGCTGGGATTGTCCCGTCAAAGCTGCCGTTGCTATTTCACTCACTGTTATCAACTTATCTCAAAACATTTGTTTTATTTTAGCTCTGGCTTTCATCAAGAACTTSATTTCTTTCAAAGTTTATCGCTGTTAATGAACTTAATGTTTTCATTCTGGCCTTCAAGTGGTTTGAAATCAAAATATTGGTAGTAATTGTTTTAGTATAGTCTGTGGAATGGTGATTTGAGCYGTAAATCTGTGTACGAGATATGGAACAAATCTTCCCAGGAACTTCATTCCAAAACGGGTCATTAAGGTAGGGAATAATCCAAAAATTATGAGCAAATATCATGTTTGAATAACCCGTGTTTCCTAATGAGCATAACATACGTTCCTTGAAGATGTTCACCGAGCTTCCCACCAGATATTTCTCTTTACCGATCAACTTGATAACCTTTTTCATTAAGACCCTTATCTTGAACTTCTGTTTTGAGTGAAGTTTTGGTCAACTCTTCAACAGTGAATTAATTTAAGTTGAATTCTTTGAAGTTTTGGAAGCGGAGTTATTGAAGCTCTTAAATGAAAAGTACTTTTTGTGTTTTGCTTCGTGTAACATATTTTCTCCAGGAGCCTTTATCTTAAATTTGACAGGATTGACCTCTAACCTCCATTGTTAGCGAGYGTTAGGAATTGAAAAAACAGTCTCTATAAAGCTCAAAAAAAGTCACAAAATTAGCACACAGAAAAAACATTCGACTCGAAAGAAGCGAGAATGATAAATCTTTAAAACTGAAAAAACAGGTAAGGCATTTTTTGAGTTTAGTGAACGTCTTTTAAAACTGTTTCGCTTTAGTTTTACTGTAAACCTTTGTAACATGTTGGTTTTATTCTGTTATCTATATTACCTACAGATATTTCCGCCGTAAAAGTGGTGATATCCTGCATGAATATTACTGAGATCACAGCGTAGAGGTCATTAATACAACTCAGCAAATGAAAGAGTGAACGAATTTATGTGGTAAGTCAATGAATTTAATGAATAAAGTAAGGCRAAGATAAGCTTTTATCTCGATGTATTAAAATCTCACTCTTCGTTCTTTCCTATTCGTCTCTTTTGTAAAATATCTTATGACTTCAAAACCATCAAATTTTGAATTACTCTAACCGCGTGAACACTCGAGTTTAATTTATATCTTAATTTTTATTTGTGTAAATATACTTATATTTTTTCTTTCTCTTTCATCATTTCATTTCCTTGAATAGCTTTTTATAGACATGTAACTTAATTCTATTGTTTTTGATTTGTAATCTGATTGGTTAACAAAATCGAGTGTTCACTGTTATTCTGTTAGAGTAGCCTGCGTAGCCAGGCGTTCCTTGTGGTTTTTGGGGAAGCTTGGGGAGAAGAGAAGAGGAGAGAGGGAAGAGCAGTGTTTTTTGTGAGAGATTGCTTCACTCGAACTAGCAGACAACCAGTAGGCAAAACAGCCAATACATCTCGATTTGACGTTAGATGATTAATAGCATCTCTCTKTTCTTCTTTGAGCGAAAATGAAAGTTCTTCAAGCGATAAAGAAGCTAAAGCTTCATTCAAGCAATGTTCAAAGTCATCCATCTTGAATCTACACGATCAAGTGCATTTGAATATTTTTCACATCCGGCCGTCCATCATTTATTCATCGCACCAATCAGAAGCGCCCGTTCGTGGGCGAACGGGTTTTTCAAAATCATAATGGCTGCTGGCAAGCGTTCCCTCTCTCCTCTTCTCTCCTCCCCAATCCCCAAAACCCACAAGGAACGCCTGGCTACGCAGGCTACTGTTAGAGTAGAACGACAGTAATGCGGCTATTAAATCCAAATTTTGATGTTTTTAGACATTGGTATATACGTGATGAGTGTAGGTGTTGCKTAAGTGGAAAACGTAAGGTGCTATGACTCTTGAATGGATTCTGCTCTCAACCAATCATAACGCAGGAAAAATGATTACTATTCAATCACAAAAAACGCAAAATTCGTATGGGGGAATGCTCCTAAGATAATATATATATTGTCATCGTATGGCAGGACGCTCTTAACCAATAACAACGCTAGAAAAATAAACACCGTATCATAACTGCGCATTGAGGTGTGTGRTTGGATGATTCACTCCACAACTGTAAGCCATTTCAGTGTCACAGCGTTTTAAGTCAGTACCGTCACGGTTTCCCACTCACAACATAACCATTCTTATGGGAAGCCATTACAATGTTACATCATGTCGTAGCTTGTATGTGCTATAAGACTACCATTACTGACGTTTCCCACTCACACGATAACCATTCTATGGGATTCATTGCAATGTTACAGCATGTCGTAGCGCGTATGTGCAGTAGAGCTCTAAGACAGTACCGTTACGTTTCACACTCACATRATAACCATTCTATGGGAAGCCATTGCCATGTTACGGCATGTCGTAYCGTGTTCGTGCAGGAAGACCGTACCGTTACGTTTCACACTCACATGATAACCATTCTTATAGGAAGCCATTACAAYGTAGCAGCATGCAGTCCAACTCGTACAAAGCTGCTCTAAAACTACAAACGTTTTTTTTGCCTCCCATTTTTAATTTCCTATCATTCTTAACATTTTAAAACAGCTTTTTATAGTATTTTTGTGTTACTTTGCGAAAGGAAGTGTTGTTTACACAAAACAACATGCACCTAACGGAAAAAACCATCAAAAGAACAAGATAAAACTTATCGATATTGGCAAGCGGATATTTGACCGTGTTATCTAAAGGAACTTACGTTTTTCGTTTTGTAGAGTCTTTCGATATTGGCCTGCTTTCATTAATTGAGTTTTACTGTATCGGAACGATCTTTTTCGATTTTCCAAATTTGCTTTGCTAAATTGTATTCAAAACAAACACTGTAGCTCACTGAACGCCTACGAAATCTCGAAAAAAACCCAGTCTATTCTTGTGATCAATAAATTACTTTGGTCTGAAGATTTATTAAAATCGATACACCTATTTGCAGRAACGTTGTCATACAAGAAATAAGAAKTCATTATTTGTTAAGCAGAACTGGTGGCATAAATATTTCACTGTTTTGAAGGGATATACATACATATTTGATATTACTTTGTTATTATATACYGCACTAAAACAGTCATTCTCGTCAATCTAGCGGGCTTTAGAATCAAAATATAATGTAATGTTAAAAAAATATTTCTAATAAATTCCTATTTGTTATTTTATTATTATTATTATTTTTTTTTTTTTTACAGCAACTTTCATCAGGTTTTTTTAGGATTTTGCAAAAAACTGTCATTCTTGCTGAAGCTGTTTTGAAATCATTCTGTTAAATAAAAAGCGTATTTTTCAGTCGGAAAAACTGCCATTCTTTCTAGAGCTGGTTTGATATTTTTGCTCACTCTCTTTCCTCAGATTGAATATGTCTTTCCTCGTTATCTTTATTGTAGCAGAAAATTCTGTTTCATAAATTGTATGTTTTGCAATTAAAACTGCTCTTTGAAAGCATTTGTATTCGAAATTTTTACCATAATTGGAGGCCGGTTCAAGTGGCAGCGTCCACAATGCATTTAGATCAGTTCTGCGTGACTGACCGACCTCTTCGAGCAGCTGTAAAGCAGACTGGCTGTGTGGGCTTGCGACGTAGCTAGATCTTGCCAAATCTTAGGAACAAATATGTCAATCGCTTGTCAAACGGGTCATTATACAGACACAAAAGCAAAGAAAAGACCCGGCTCTTAATGAGAGGGGCTGAGAAAAAGCTCACGATCGTCTGAAGAGAGTTTCGACTCGTTACTTTGAAATTTTTGCTTTTTTAGTTCGTGCTGAATATCAAACGCAGGAAATGAAGRCTTAGTGACAGTGATTCAAGAACTGGTAAGTGATCGGGCAAATGTGCCAGGAATTTTCCTTTATTTTAAAGCACATTTTATGACAGTAAGAATGAGGTGTATTGGAGTTTTAAAACCAATGCCGAACGGCTTGTCTTTTTGGAAGTAATCTAGCCAATTTGTCGAGCACTAAACTAGTTAAACGTTTAAGGTCAATGGTATGGAGTTTAATGTCGATTTTGCGTGCGGAAGATTGATGGAAAATGCTTTTTTTTATCGTTAACCGATAATTATAAAAGCTTCAAGCCTTATTCTAGGCAATTAATTTTCATAAAYCGATTGAATTCGTGCTCAAACATTGAATTTTCATGTCAGTTGTATTGAGCAAGAAGTCCAACTGCGGTCGTAAAAGGCTAGTACAAGTAGCGAGTAAGGCACCAGTTGTCCTCAGTGTCTGCTGGTCAATACAGAAACGTCTTGTGTATTTAGCACTCGTGTTTGTTTACTCTTGTATGGCTGGGAACTCGTAATTAGTATACCACATTTATATTTACTCCAAAATATGAAAGTCTACGRATGGTTTGCCCTAAACGTTTGATTAACGTGTTTGAAATGCTAGGAATTAATGCCATTTAATCTGGAGTTGAAAGAATCTTGATTAAAAATTCGGAMTCACTCAGGAATAGTCTTGAATTTTGACGTTTTTCTTGCCACGCCCGTTTAATAATCTTAATATCTTTTTTTGCGAGAAGCTTCTAATATTAACAGTGCTTTTTTAGTATCTTGGTTAAAATTAGTCCCCTCCCACCCCCTGTTAGTCTAAACCACTTCTAGATGTTTTGCTCCGTGATCCATTAATGCCGCCGAACAAGACAAAGTGATCTTCTAAGTATCTTTTATGTCACAAGGTTAGATAACTGTATTTTAGCCTGAATACCGGCACATTTTCTCCATATCAAGTTCCATAAGAGCAGGATAGCTGTCTAGCCCTTGGGCCTGGCGATATTGACCATTTTCCACTTGTGAGCATGTTCACTGCTAAGCGTAATGATAGAATATAAATTCCCAGCCATCATTCTTGCTGGCAGGAAGATGGTCTCAGTTTCTAGTATTATCAAACCCAGCATTGCAATTGTGTTTATTATCTTTATTAATTATTCCAGCACTTTTCGTGTCYATGGCTTTTAGAGACAGGAAGTTCGTGACGATATCGCCTTCTCTAAATTATTTTTTAACACCGCTCTAAACAGTAAATGTGTAAGGAATATTCCAGAAGAATCGGCCAAATTGTCTTATAGCAGACGTACTTTTTGCCATTTTTTTGTGGTCTAGTCACGTGACTTGATAAGATACCTATCGATAGGTAGGGGTAACCGCATAGTGATAGTGGGGCTGTCTACTGGAATAAGGGCAGACAGGATGGTGTCGGTGTGTAGTGATGGTGTCACGTGACTTGATAAGATGCCCATCGACAGGTAGGGGTAACCGCATAGTGATAGTGGGGCTGTCTACTGGAATAAGGGCAGACAGGATTGTATCCGTTTGKGTTGGTGATGCAYTTCCTTTAGGAGACAGACAGACAGTTGTAAATCATTGTGACAGACATCAATAGACACGTGAACGCGCGCTCGCATAGAGATTGACGGAAACTGACAGACACCCACATGCAACGGGCACAGTGGGAGAGACACCACTAAAAGCATCGGGCACAGATAGAAATACACACCGATGTAATAGATGGCGACAGACACCCATAAGCACAGACATATAGATACGGACAGACAATCAAATAATAAGACACACGCATAGTAATATTAGTTGTCCTCAGACAAATAGACAAACACACCGATGTAATAGATGGTGAAATACACCCATCGGCACAGACACACGGACAGCCTCTTGGTATCAGACACCCATAAGCAAAGATACCCAGTAATGTTGACAGAAACCCATAGACACACGGAAACCCTCCAATGGTTACAGACACCCATAAGCAAAGACACACGGAAACCCTCCAATGGTTACAGACACCCATAAGCAAATACACACGGACATCTCTAATGGTTACAGACACCCATAAACAAAGACACGCAGACACCCTATAATGGTTACAGACACCCATAAGCAAAGACATGCAGACACCCTCTATTGGTTACAGACACCCATAAGCAAAGACACACGGACACCTCTAATGGTTACAGACACCCTCTAATGGTTACAGACACCCATAAGCAAAGACACACGGACACCTCTAATGGTTACAGACACCCATAAATAAATATACGCGGACACCCTCTATTGGTTACAGACACCCATAAGCAAAGCCTCGTGGACACCCTCTAATAGTGACAAACACCCATAAACAAATATACACGGACACCCTCTGATCTTTACAGACACCCCTAAACAGAGACACACGGACACCTTCTAATGGTTACAGACACCCAAACAGACCAATAGGGAGACGCTAGTCATGAGAAAGAAACAAAGTAACAAAGAAACAAAGAAAGAAAAGAAAAGAAGAACGAAAGAAAGAAAGAAAGAAAAGGAAGGAAGGAAGAAAGAAAGAAA